TCCCAGCTGTGAAGGCTGGCCGGCTTTGGCAGGGAAACCTGCACCCTCTGGAGCTGGCTTGGCCCCCGGAGAGGAGGTGGGCAGTCCAGCTGGGGCAGAGTGCTGGCTCCTGGGAGGGGGCGCAGAAGGAGTGGAGAGCGCCTCCCCTCCCCTCTGAGCCTCTCTGGTGGGAGAGGGAGGGAACAGGTCCTCGTCCTTCAGGCCCAGCCAGTCAGCTCCTCCCTTCCTGGGGTGGGTGGGGCTGGCGGCCACTGGGATGCTCCTTTTGGAGGCTGGTTCTCCCTTGGGGTCTGCGCCACCTTCTGCTGAGAACCTACTTCAAGACAGAGAGGAGGAGGTCTAAGGCAGGGCAAACCGTCCATCCTGCGAGCCCCCTGACCAGCCTTTCCCTCTGCTGCTTGGGGGTGACTGTGAGTGAGAGGTTCCCCGGGGCTCTGTGCAGCCAGCCCGATACCCCGTGAGCACAGTGCCCACACCAGCTTGGGTGGCAGGGCAGCGGCCAGCTGAGTGCCAGTATTCCTAGAACACCATCAAACGCACGTCCTCAATTCCACCACGTGAACGGGGGACAGTTTCATTTGCAGCAAACAGGACCAAATCACAGCCGTGGGCACACTCGTCCAGAGAAAATGCAGTCGGGTCAAGTGGTTTTAGGTTTTCCATTAACATTTTATTATCTGTTCATTTATTTGGCCACTGCCTGGAAGTGTCACTGGCCAGTGGCAGCGGGTTGCAAGGTCTAAGAACACCCGGGGACTGAGAAAAATGTCAGTGTGTGTGGTGGGTTATTTAGACACAAAGAGGCTGAAAAGGCCAACATGGCATAACGCCAACATCTGCTGAGTCTGGGCGAGGGATCGGAGGCAGTGCTTTGTACCGGTCTTACAACTTTTCCGTCAGTTTGAAATCATTTCAAAGCATAAAGTTTAACATCTATATGGGGAGGAAAACCCCAAATTCAGAAAATTCTATCCACTAACTTAATGTTTTATGGCACACTGGGACGGGCCTGCTGCCAGGCATCGCGGCGGGCCCCAGAGCAGTTCCTGGGGAGCAGGGTGTGAGAAGCCACCGAAGGTTCTCGGTCTCGCTACCCCAGGGATTGGACATTCCTCGGGGAGATCTGCTGACATTAGCTGTCTGTGGCTTTAAGGGCTCCAGGCGGAGTTGGGGTCCCCTCTTGCTTTTCCTTCCAAGGAGGCTGGAAGGAAATGGGCCTGTGTGGGTGGGACGGGGCAACCCCCTCTTCTCCTTCAGCAGCCACAGGGTGCCACCCCTCTGTCTTGTATGCCGTGGTTCCCAAACTGGGGCACCTGCCCCCAAAACCAAGCTCCCAGCAGGCCCTGCTTACCTGACCGACTGCCGGTGGGACTGCCGGCCCTCGCAGGAGCCCACACTGGGCTGATAGGCCCCAAAGGTGAAGTCCTCATCACCCCAGGGATCTTCTTTGTCTGAAAACGAAGAGGCTTGTGATCTAGAGCAAGGGAGTCAGATTCTTTTGTGGCTGCAGAACACGGTTTAAGACAAAAACAACAAAAACTGAACTGGCAGGGGCGCGTGGGTGGCTCAGTTGGTTGAGCGTCCCACTTGGGCTCAGGTCATATCTCACGGTCTGTGAGTTCGAGTCCTGCGTTGGGCTCTGCGCTGTCAGCTCAGAGCCTGGAGCCTGCTTCAAGTTCTGTGTCTCCCTCTCCCTCTGCCCCTCTCCTGCTCATGTTCTATCCGTTTCAAAATTAAATAAATGTTAAACAAAAAAACAAAAAAAAATCTGAACCGGCAGCTTGACGTGTCAGGCCAAGTGAGTAAAGAGGAGGCCGCTCTGGGGAAAAGCAGGGGTGCAGCGCTGGGCGTGAGCCCAGCGTCTCGGGGTCTGGCACACAGGGCATCATCTGGGAGTGGTGACGGAGGCACTGGCGGGGTCCTGCCCCAGACAGCCTTTGGATGAGGCCCGGTGAGCCGTGTGGGTTATGAGAATGATTCTCAACACACGGCCCATGGGCCAACGCTTTGAGAAACCGTGGTCTGGATGATGATTTTCAAACTGTGAGCTGCTATCCATCAGCCAGAGCCGATTTAATGAGTCACAACCAATGTGTTTATAAATCAAGTAGTGCCCAGATAAAAAATAACAGAATGCTGAACACGGTAGTTGTTATTTCGTGACACTTTTGTCTTAGTCATAATAATGTGTGTGTGATGTAAAGCTTCTAAAAAAAAAACCTTTTTTTTTTTAATGTTTATTCATTTTTGAGAGAAACAAAGAAAAGTGCTTGTGCACAAGCAGGGAAGGGACACAGAGAGGGGGACAGAGGATATGAAGCAGGCTCCACACTGACGGCAGAGAGCTGGATGCGGGGCTTGAACTTACAAACTGTGAGATCATGACTTGAGCCGAAGTCGGTTGCTTAACCGACTGAGCCACCCAGGCGCCCTGTAAGGCTTATTTGTTATTACGGGCTGTGGTAGAAATGTGGTCTAGGGGTCCCCCACCTCGCCTCC